ATCCGAGGAGGATCGGTTTTGCGTGGTTCCTGGAGTGCCATGTTGCAAATGCGCGATAAGCAGTGACACCACATGGCGCGCAGATGGTGTTCGGGAGCTGCCGCTGCCCCACGCGCCTCAATGAGCTCCGCATTGCAATGTAGTGAAGTCATGGTCGCGGCCGACGCACTGATGGCGGCGCGTGTCGGTTGTTCGTTTCCGCTGCGCAGTTTAGAAGCCTCACGCTGTTCTTGAGCCACTCGATAGCACCTCTTATTTTGTGTGAAGGAGAAGAAGTATCACTGGGAGTGCAATTTTAGCGGTTCGTTTGCCAGTGTAGTATAGCCAAGGAGCAAAATAGTGAAATCACTGCACAGTGACACATAACAGCGAAGAAACTCAGCTCAATAGATTTTAAAGTAGCTGCCAGGTAATTAGCTTTTGAGCGTTAAAATCAACACAAGAAGGCTTAAAGTACTTTGGCGAAGCCGAAGTAAAGAATTGAACGCCTAGTAAAGCGTCGTCGCGAGAAGGCTGAACGATGTGCCCGACCATCTCAGTAGCAGCAAAACGAAAACTCAGTGATGATGTAAGGGCCTGATAATCAAACTAATTCTATACAGCTAGGAAAGCTAAGAATAATCAACTGAGCCTACTACGTATAGGCTACGCTACGCATATCCAGGCATAGTTGATGTAAGCCACCGCTTGTTTTTTTACTTCTTCATTCGCTTATGATGTCGCCCGTGCAAGGTGATCTACTTGTCACTTTCCATGTTATGGCAATAAACTGAAGCGTTCTTGCTGCACAACACCTCATTGTGTTCAGTGCCCTCGTTTGGTGTGCTCCATAAAGTTCCATACAATAATACCTAGACAGGAATCTGGTGTTAGTTAGGGAATCTGGCGTTATCATATTGGTTCCTTCAGGTGCGCTTGTACCGCCATGGAAATATGGGAAGTACAGACTGCGGATCTGCTTCGAATAAATTACATTCTTGAGAATCGCGACGCTCGTTTTCCGAGTGCAGAACAAAGTAATATGAACTTATATTGCATTGAAACTTACGTTATTTATTTGTACGCCAGCAATATTGCAAAAGGTTTTGTTACGAAGTGACAAAAGTGAGATCTGGGCAAATTTAACCACCAGGGTATGCGTCACTCAGCCACTGCACTCCAGATTTAGCATCATGATTTAATGAATTCTTTACACCGCTTCAAAACAAGCATGCTTGTTTTGCTCTCGAAGGTACGCATTATCTGTTTACAGTACAGTATTAAGTGAGAAACACATAACATTCTGTCTTTTACGACGCTAGGTGCATCGGTCTAAGTGGTCTGTCCCCCAACGCCCCTCCTGTTCTGGTATGAAGCCGAGTAAGAGCAGCCTGACGATGCGCCTACTTAGTTTCGTGAAGGTTTTGAAGTCGACCTAATTAAGTTTAGGCAAGACGCGCTCGTAAAAAAACATGAACTAGATGGAGTATCCTGCACTGGCTTGAGACGCTACCACAATGCGCAGTGGTGAGCGAACGACGCCTCGTTCAAGCTGTCAAATGCGACTCCTAAAGTTTGACAATCACAGCTAAGCAAGAGACCTAGTGGTCTTCAGCCTTTTCCAAAAAAAAAGGCACTGTTTCAGCAATTTTTACCGCACGCCACTACATGCGCTGCCCAAAAAACGAAACTGAAACTGTATAAAAGGCTTTGTAGACAGCTCGCTAACTTATTGAAAAAAAATGTCCACTATAGGAATGTTGAATTCGACCATTCACCATTTCGATGGACTAAGTTTGTTGGAAATGTTGGTGGCACATGCTGTATGGTGGCGTATGGTGGAGTGGTTGGTGAATGGCGCGCTCCAATCAGCAATGCTGGAGCGCGAAGCAGTGTCAGTACCACAGTGATGAGCTGGCACTAAAAAAATAAGAATTATATTTACATAAAAATGATGTAGAAAGCACCCATAAAAAAGTAGGACAGCGAAGATTTGAACCTGCCACCTTTGGATTCTTAATTGAGCACACTAACCCACCCGCCACGCCGACAATTCGCAATGTTGGTGTTGAATGACCAGTCAAGAAGCTGCGAAACGCGCAGGAAGAGCTCGTGCATTTCCCTGCGCATGACCAACCTTCTTATACGCACAGTGACGTCAACTCGAAGATCAGTGACATGATGCAGCATGCAGCTCGTCGATTGGTCTAAACCAGGTCTCAACAAATAGTAATGAAGTCAACGTCACCGATCACCGAGTTGACGTCACTGCGCGTATACGGAGGTTGATCACGCTCAAGAGAAATGCGCGAGTGATTTTACTGTGCGTTTTGGAGCCTGTTGATCGGCCCTTCAAAAAATAGTCTACTCACAAACTCACCGTTTAACTTTAGTTTAGTTTGCCACTTACTCGAGATGGAGGGGATGTGCACCTTCTACTAAAGTTTGCATATTTGATAAACACGAGCAACTGCTGCCTGCGACAATTGCCACTGCGATAATGGCACCAGCGCTATGTTCTTGTTACAACTTACAACCGGAAGAAAAAAAAACTCGGTGAACTGAGGGGCAGCCACAGTTTGTGGGCGGTTACTGCCAAGTTTAATATCGGTTTCTTACTCCTTCTAAAGGGCGATATCTGTTCAGGTTTTACGACGCTTCTATGCTCATTTGATAGATATGCCTACACAATTGATAGTGATGTTTTTCGTCCAACGCACAGCGCAGTCGGGCCAGCGCACCGCTTTTGCTCTGTCTTTGATTTGATTGATATGTGGGGTTTAACGTCCCAAAACCACCATATGATTATGAGAGACGCCGTAGTGAAGGACTCCGGAAATTTCGACCACCTGGGGTTCTTTAACTTGCACCCAAATCTGAGCACACGGGCCTACAACATTTCCGCCTCCATCAGAAATGCTGCCGCCACAGCCGGGATTTGATCCTGCGACCTGCGGGTCAGCAACCGTGTACCTTAGCCACTAGACCACCGTGGTGGGGCTGCTCTGTCTTTAAAAACAACTACATAACGGCATGGTTCCAAACGAATGCAGTGTGCCAGAAACATTATGTTATCATATTGGTTCAGTAAGCATACGAAATGACGAGTCTGTGTTCTCGCATAGGAGCCAGTAAAGTGCCAGTGAGTGCGACCGGCGGCTGTCAGTGAGGGGAGGCGTACATTTGGTGGAAGTGCTGAAAGTGTGTCGCATCGATGTTCGTAGCTTCTTTGGTTGATGCCTTACACAATAAAAAGGATTTATTTAGGATAAAGGATGTCATCGCTGTGCTGCATTCCTATTTTTACTCGTCAAAGTTGTGTATTCTGAAACCCAGAAGCGCCGATAACAATTGTGAGGGCCTGGTCGGTATGACTAATCCTTGGTGGAAATCATGGCTGTAGAACAGGAGGGGTGAAAGTCAAATTCACTGGGGCTAATCTCGACGCATGTAGAAAGTGAAAGTTGATGCAAAATTGCACGCACTTTGTTAACCTAAAAGTACGGCTCAAGCATAGAGTGTGCAAGAATTGCCAAGGTTGCGTCTCTAGCGTGGCGAAATCAAGTGACCGCTGTGTTCTGCTCTCACATTGAAAGCGGCAATTGCGAACTGGAGCTCATTTATTTTTCGACAACAGCGCGTCGACGTAAAACAATTGTCGCGGTTCACAGTGACACCTCTTGTTGTCTAAACAACACAACAAAGAAACACATTGCGGATGTCAAACTGATGTGAGCACGTGTGCGAAACGTAAACATATTCACAGTCCTATATTCTACGCTCTACAAAATTTCAAGCGTTGTTGACACCCCACGAATAAAAAAAAAATAAACGTACCAGAAAGCGTAATAAGCAGCATTGGTTTCTTTTGACCGTAAAGATATATCTCCACGCACTCAAAGATGAAACACTACAGTAATAAGTGATTTCAAATACTGTCATGTGCTTTTTTATCACGTCACTATCATCCACCAAGCTACCATTGTACCACAGTCATCCACTTTGCTCACCAAGCCTGTCACCAAACACGTTTTGCTTCGCCACTATCAGCCAGCATTTTCCACCATCACAACTATTGGCTCGCCACCACCCCCACCAACTGCCACCATTTTTTCTACTTAGGCCGTCATTAGCCGGCATTTTCCACCACCACCACCATCGGCTCTCCACATGCACAACCATATTCCATAATTTTTTTCACTTTCGCCGTCATCAGGCTATATACCCACAACAATTTCACCGTATCCACAAATATTTTCACCATATCCACTATTCTTTCCAGAATATCAACCAGTGATTCCAGCGTCCACCAACGCAGGATTTTTAATAGGGTAGCTAACTATATCCAATCCGTAGCCTGTACTTCCCATAATTCTCGTGGGAGTGCAAGATCGCAGCGCCAGATTACTCTCTAAGTATTATTGTGCGAAACTCTATGGTGCCCTCATATTGGTATGCTTGAATAAAAGTTAAAGGGCAAAAAAGGAAACTAAGTTCGTATGTGGCTCAACGCTTCCGCTGAGGCAAGATATTTTAGCTCTTTATTGAGGGGACAATGAGTAATGCATGCTACGTGCTCATGGTACCCCCGTCGTTCTGAGTACGTCACGGATTCAACCAGAAAGTTGCCTCCACCAGAAAGTGTCACATGTATTCATCTATTACGATGCAAGCAAATAAACATACATCGCTGCGAGCATGAGAGAACCAGCAAGCACGCTGCGATATCTCTACACCAGACGATTGGCGTTAGATGGCACGGTAATACAGTTTCATGAGACTGGCAGTTGCCACTCACGCGTTGCGACCTAATTTCCTGACGGCAGTACGTCCCGCTGTAATGGAACTTCACTTAGCGACTGCACAAAGGACCGGAAACCTTGGAGTTGCTCTTGACTGCTCCATTATTACTTCATATAGATTGTTTAACGAACTTAGTAGTTAATAATGTCAAGTTTAACTGCACATTGAGTACTTGTTACCCATGTGGCGGAGCCTTTCATGTCATTTGCGTTGTGCAGTTCATCGACTTGGAGACAGGCGAGAAAGTAGGACCCGGGCAATACGGTGAGCTTTATTTCCGTTCCCCCTGTATCATAAAAGGCTACTACAAGAACCCGGAGCTCGTCAAAGAGTTTGTGGATGCTGATGGATGGTGCAAATCAGGTATGTGCATTTACTTCTTTTGTCCTCATAAAGAACGGAGGGCCGAAAACGAACAAAGCATTTCGAACGTTACAGAAACTAGCTTGTTTTTTTCAGTGTTACTTTTTCTTGTTTTTGTCAGAAATATTGAGTAGTAGTACAGCTCACTTTCGATAACACAACAGAACAACTTTTTAACTAGGGAAAAGGGCGAGGATGACGTCATGTCACCTAGTAATTTTTAACTATTTTTGAAGTGCAGCCACAATTGCTGCATGCATGCTGCCACAACGAAGAAACGTCCGGTGCACGAGGATATTTCCGACTGGGAATTTGTGAAGATAGGGGTCATCATAACCCGCTTGAGACAGTCACGTAAGAAATCCTGCTGCAATGAAATGACAGCACTATTCTAGCTGAAAGTTTTCGCATAAATGTTTCAGGGTGTCTTCCTTTGCTAGAATCTAGGGTATTTGACGTAGGCTTCTCTGAAGACGCCAAAAGGCAGCGAAAACCAAGAAAAAAATTGAGCGTGGGTTGAAACCTACGGTAGCCATGTGGAACGTGAAACGGATCTCACACAGTTTGAAAAATGTGTCTTGTTTATGGCTACATGCAAGCCCTCGAAGTAATCCTCCCTGACGTTTAAAAGAAATGGCGAGAATAGTGGCGAAAAGCACCACTCTATTTACACCACATATCCCACGAACGTCATGGATAAGTTCTATCTAAGCTTTGATGAAGGAGAGCTGGTAGGTGTTTCAATAAAATGACCATACAGCACGCGTTGTCAGATTACGTTATTCAGATTAGGTTATTACGTCGTGTCAGATTAGGTTATTACGTCGAGCTACAAAAAACATATACTGGTGCCGAGGAAATTTTGTGCGCAAAATCTCGAAAGCTGAAGCAAGAACGAAACACGTTATTTTCCTATTATTATCTTTCATCTAGGGGACATCATGTACTACGATGAAGATGGCCGTGTTTACTTTGTGGACCGGGTGAAGGACATGATTAGGTGCCAACACTTGCTGGTGTCGTCTATGGAGCTCGAAAGCCTGCTGCAGAACCACCCTAGTGTCGCTGACGCCGCTGTGGTAGGGATTCCGAAGACGGAGTACGGTGATGCCCCAGCTGCTTTCGTCGTTCTCAGAGACCCGTCGTCGGCATCAGCTATGCTGGCAGCCGAACTGAAGGAGCACGTCGCATGTAAGCCAAGTTGTGCCCCGCCGTGGTGGTCTAGTGGCTAAAGTACTCAGCGGCTGACCCGTAGGTCACGGGATCTAATTCCGGCTGCAGCAGCTGCATTTCTGTTGCAGCAGGAAATGTTCTAGGCCCGTGTGCTCATATTTCGGTGAACGTTAAATAACTCCAGGTGGTTGACATTTCGGGAGCCCTCCACTACGGCGTCTCTCATAGTCATTAGGTGGATTTGGGACGTTAAAGCCCACATGTCAAGTAAGCGAAGTTGTAAATTCAAAGATATATTTTTGGCTACCGAAAGTAATGTAATTACTTCGATCGGTCTATCTAGCTACCTTATCGGGGCGCTGTTGTGGTGTTTTCTGGCTTTCTGAGACTCCAAATTAGCCCAAGAGAATCTCAGTCTGTCACGGACACGATATACAAGTCATGACACAAATACAGTGAATAGATGGATGGTAAAATTTCATTTCGTCAGAAAGCAACTGCGGTCGAATCCGTGTTAGATGGCCATCAACCTAAGGTTGGCGGCCACCTGAGTGGCCCTTTCTAGTATTAACTGGACAACTGGGTCTCAGCTGGTCAACACAGTGTCCCAGTGCTCAAGAGAGGGATCACGCATAATATCCACCAGCGGCGGCACCATGCTACATTTCCAACGTATGTGATCATATGTTGCCACAGCCTAGAACTATTCGCATTGCGGCTTTATCTACTCCAGGTATAATTTGTTCAACACGTAAGGGATTGAAAAAAGATCGCGTCTGCACTTGTTTCCAGACGCATTCCTGCGCTTTAGTCAACCGCTTGTGCGTTGGCGGATAAAAGCACTGCTCTATATTATATAGTCGTTTGCTATGTCGTGAAAAGACAGCAGCCCATCTTTCGCGGATCTCCGCGGAACGGGCTGCTCACCTACCCGGCTGACGAAACAACAAGCATTCAGGTGAGCCACCTTGTACCCGAGGTTTCCAGATTGGGCTGCTACCAAGACATTTTCTATTCCTCAAACTTCTCGTCGCGTGGCCCCGTGCAGAAACCACGCGGGGGTCGTCGATATTCTGCCCCTCGCCACATTTCGGATGGCTGTCTTTGAATTACTGAGAATCCAGTCTGACTGCGAATCACCTATAGCTTGCGCTATTGCCGCTTCCTCTGCAGCTTCTGAAGAGCGGAGTTTGACTGATCAAGAGGTGACCAAGCGTCCCGGCCTGTTCACTGCCCCAATCAAAAAAGCGTCTTTGTTCTTATATTTCGCGGCATCTATATAGGCTGCCGCTTTGTACTCGTTATACTCAACGTGTAAAGCTCAGGCTCTTTCCTGCCTGCGCTGCTTATGGTGAATCAATGCATATTTTTCGGCAAAGGTTTCATGAAAAGGCCCTATGTAACTCTCGCCACACCTAAACTTTAGTGTCCCGAGTGGGAGACCGTGCCCCAATGCCAATTCTTTCCAATACAATCCTACCCGCTTTTGTTGTTGAAAGCCTAGCGTGCTGCATCACCGGATGCGCCTCCCGAAATTTGTCCAGGGTGTTGTGCGCCCCTAGTTTTAACAGCCTCTGTGTAGGAGCGTTGTTAGGCAACCCAAGGGCTGTCTTGTAAGCTTGCCGGATCACATCCTTCACCTTGCTTTTTTCCGCATTATCCAACTTGATATAACTTATCGCGTAAGTAATTATGCTTAGCGCAAACGCCTGTACTAGCTTACAGAGTTCTTTTTCTTCAACTCCGGTCTTACGGTTAGCGATTTTCCTGATTAGCCCAACAGTAGCATTGACCGTGGTTTCAAGTTTTTTAAGTGCCACCCTGTTCTTCCTGTTAGTTTGCCCATATAGGCCGAGAATTCTGATTGTTTGAGCTTGAGCTACCGGCCTACCCCGTACTTTTACCTACAACGGTTGTGGCAGAATATAGTGATTTTCATGTAGCCATCTGAGTTTGTCCCAAACCACAAAAAGCTCGGACTTGGCCTTGGAGCGTAAAAGTCTCACCTATCACACAAGTACAGTGACATCCCCAATGACGTGCGCCGAATGTGCGCAAAATTTCAATATTCATGAACGACACGTCACAGGATGCAAGTCAGGTGTCACACACATTCGCATCTCACGGTCCTAATACTGCGGGCTTCTGCCAAACGTAATAACAGTCTTGTAGGGTAACAAACTGAACTTAGTATAGTTGACCTCCCTACCATTCCTATATTCTTCACTGGCTCACCCAATTGGTTGGAGATGTGCATTACAAACGTAGTCCAAGTATATACATATATATATATACATATATATATATATATATATAATATATATATATATATATATATATATATATATATATATATATGAAAGTAGATGCGCGTTCACATAACAACTGTTTATTGTGCCTACGTTTCGACAGGAACCCTGTCTTTTTCAAGGCATAATACTATTTACACATGTTCCGTGCCTTTTTATATCCTGTCGAGACAGGAGGGGAGGGGTCATATGAGAGAGAGAGAGAGAAAAAAAAAGAAAGAAGAAACAGCAAAACTGGAGGACAAACATTAAATAAAATATCAAAAATCTGGGAGAAGAAGCAAGACCGACACGGCGTAATTAGAAAGGGGCAGCATTTCAACAGAGTAGGGTAGAGGTAGATGAGGAATGTCATCATTGTCAACAATACCTCCCCCGCACCCACACTTCCCCAAGTGGACAGGAAGCCGCCGTTTTTGTATTTCACCTTTCCGTGTAGTCCGCTGGCGGCTCGTTCCTCTTTGAAGTGTATGACAAGTTAATGGGGAGGGCTTAAGCGCTTTAAGTGCATGCTGGTGGCGTCGGGAGGAGCGAAAAAGCCGGTGAATGAGGCACCGCCATCGATATTCATTATATGCATTGGCTCCTTGTCAGTGAAGGAACAGAATGTGCGTTAAAAATTAAAGAAGGAAAAAAACCAGGGGGGGGGGGAGGGGGGAGACTGTAGGACATCCGAGACAGTCACCACACATTGCGGCTCACTGGGAAGACATGCGCGCATGCACGAAAAAGTTAACGAAACCACCTAGCTGTCAGCTCCTTGTCAGTGAAGGAACAGAATGTACGTTGCAACTTAAAGGTAAGAAAGAAAAAAAAGAAGGGGGGGGGGACCGTACGACATCTGGGACCACTTATCTGTGCGTTCCAGCTGTGCTTGATGACGCAAATCATTTCTATGTTGTCAGATGCATAGGCCAAAAGCTTTGTTAGCGGGTAATATTATTGTCGTAATGAAACCGGACTGATTAGAGAGAAGCGTTTGCGTCATTTAGCGGTCGTAACGCAGACAGAGTGCCTGGATGTTCATTTATTCCGTATTTATCGTGTTAAATTTGTAGATAAAATAAGATTCCCGTTGTTCCCGTTCTCTGATTGTTCGAAAGTTGTTTTCTAGTAGTGTAACCTTGATGTCATCAAAGCTGTGGTCTTTTAATGTGCAGTGTTTTGAAAGTGGAAGGCCTGGCAGAGATCGTACATGTGCCCGATGGTTGTTGAATCTAATTCTAAACGGAGTGTCTGTCTGGCCCACGTATTGCTTGTTACATAATCCACATTCCAGGAGGTATATGACGTTGTCTGAGTCACAGTCTAGTGCACCTCTTATCCTGTGCTTAAAATCCGAGTGGGTGCTTTTCGCCACTGTCGTTGTCTGCATGTGTTTGCATACCCTGCATCTGGTTTTTCCGCAAGGGTGACACCCAATTTGAGGTTTCACACCTATCTTTGAATTTATTAAATGATCCTTTATATTTTTCGGCCTTCTGTATACAACACAAGGAGGAGAAGTGAAAATTTTGGATAGTCGCACGCTCTGTTCCAATATGTTAAAGTGTTTTCTCAGGACCTTGTTTATGTTCGGTGGGTTGCTCGTGAAAGTTAATAGCAAGTTTTTGCTGCGGTGTTGGTCGGCGTTTCTCTGGTGGTTGAGAAGAATCTGGCGGTCCAGGTTTTCAGCTTTTTTGATGGCGTCATCGATGATAGCTGGCGGGTATTCTTGATTAAGGAGTACTTCGCGCATATGTGTGCTGTTTTTGTGGAAGTCCTCGGTGCGGGAGCAGACTCGTCGAAATCTGTGAGCTTGGGAATAGGGAATGCTGGTCTTGCAATGTCGTGGGTGGCAGCTTTTGAAGTGCAGGTATTGTTGCCTGTCTGTAGGTTTTCTGTATACGTTAGTTACCAACGACCATCGTCGACTCGAATGAGTACATCAAGAAAGTTTATTTCAGTGTTAGAGTAGGTGTGTGTAAAATAAATGCTGGAGTGTACCTGGTTGAATGCCTGTATGAATTTGAGGAGCTCGTTTTCCGAATGTGTCCAAATTATGAATATATCATCTAGGTACCGTTTATAGAGTAATGGTTTAATATTACAAGATGAAAGAAAATTTGACTCTATGTGGTGCATGAATATGTTAGCGTAGTTTGGGGCCATTCTTGTACCCTTGCCGTACCGCTGATTTGAAGATAGTACTGGTTGTTAAATTCAAAGCTGTTCAAATCGAGTACAAGTCTTGTGAAGATTTCAATTACTTTTTTGCTTAGATAAGCGACAGGGTTGTGTGTGCCATACGATTCAACAAGTGCCCTTACACCATCGTCATGTGGGATATTTGTGTAGAGTGAGCTAACATCCAATGTTACGAGAAATGCACCGTCTGGAATTTTCACGTCTGCTATTTCCCGAAGGAAGTGGTTTGTGTCACGCAAGAAGGACTCATGTGTGGGTGGTATGTCTTTGATTAAAGAATCAATATAACTGGAAATGGGTTTCGTTAACGTTCCCGTGCCTGATATGATGGGTCTGCCAGGGTTATTCTCTTTATGAATCTTCGGCAGCATGTAAAAACGACCAGGCACCGAATGTACCGTAATAAGTGCCTTTTCAAGCTTTGAATTATTGGCGCCTTCACGTGTGAGATTCTCTAGGGTTGTTACAAAGATTTTTTGTGCTCCGTGGTAGGGTCAAAGTCGAGGTGTTTGTAGAATTGTT